CTTCATATCATCTGCGAACAGGGACACTTCTGAGTCTAACCCTTCCATCATGTCGTTCACATATACCAAAAATAGCACTGGTCCTAGGACCGACCCCTGTGGGACCCCGTTCGTCACAGGTGCCCACTGTGATACCTCATCACGTACCATGACTCGTTGTTGCCTCCCTGTCAGGTATTCTCTGATCCATTGCAGTGCCCTTCCTGTTATATGCGCCTGATCCTCTAGCTTCTGCACTAATCTCTTGTGAGGAACTGTGTCAAAGGCCTTCTTGCAGTCGAAGAAGATGCAATCAACCCACCCCTCTCTCTCGTGCGTTACTTCTGTTACTTTATCATAAAACTCCAGAAGGTTTTTGACACAGGATTTGCCTTCCATGAATCCGTGCTGGTTGGCGTTTATACTCTTGTTCCGTTTCAGGTGCTCCACCACTCTCCTCTTGATAATCTTCTCCATAACTTTGCATACTATACACGTCAGTGACACAGGTCTATAGTTTAGTGCCTCTTTTCTGTCTCCTTTTTTAAAAATGGGAACTACATTTGCCGTCTTCCATACCTCAGGTAGTTGCCCAGTTTCCAGGGATGTGTTGAAGATTGTGGTAAGTGGCACACACAGCATATCCGCTCCCTCTCTAAGGACCCACGGGAAGATGTTGTCCGGTCCCATTGCCTTTGAGGTATCGATGTCTCTTAGCAGCTTCTTCACCTCCTCTTCATTTGTATGTATGTCATCCAACACTTGTTGGTATATTCCTTGCTGGTGTCCTCCTCTGTTCTGTCCCCCCAGAGGCCTTCCTGTCTCCACTGTAAATACTTCCTTAAATCTCATATTGAGCTCCTCACATACTTCTTGATCATTTCTTGTGAGTTCTCCACCTTCTTTCCTCAGCCTTATCACCTGGTCTTTGACTGTTGTCTTCCTCCTGATGTGGCTATACAGCAGTTTCGGGTCAGACTTGACATTCGATGCTATGTCGTTCTCGTACTGTGTGTGTGTGTGTGTGTGTGTGTGTGTGTGTGTGTGTGTGTGTGTGTGTGTGTGTGTGTGTGTGTGTGTGTGTGTGTGTGTGCGTGAGTGTACGTGTGTGTGTACGTGAACTATGAAAACCTAATTTGTATATGGAAAAGTTCATATGCTTTTCGAACATTCCAAATAGGTAGTATAAAATGGCTGAGTGTCCCAGCCAGGAGAGTAACCAGATAAAAGGGGTAAAATACATTGACGTTATTCGTTCAATGACCCTCTTCCCAGACTGTGTTAACAAGACACTTGAGATTATCCTCTGATTACAACATCTTCAGTCTTCCTTCAGAGTGCAGGCAGTGCACTTCCCACCTCCAGAACTCAAGTTCAGCTAATAAGTTTCATGAATCCCTTAATACATGTTCACTTGCTCACACTTCAGCAGCACATCCATTACAAATGGACTGTCTCCATTCACTCTTCTAACACTCTGACATAACCCTGCTGGATGCTTAAGCCCCTAAAACTCAAAACTTCTTTTAGCTTCTCCCTCCGACCGTTCCTAGGACGCCTCCCATTCCCTTCCTATCTTCTTCTACCTCAGAATTATACACACTCTTCGTCATCCTATCTCTTCATCCTCTCTACACATCCATGCATATTCATACTCTGTGTATAAGGAAGAAACGTAAAAAGACGTGGTAAATATTATAATAAATTTTGGTTGTTGTTCTAGTGGGTGTGTGATTGACGTGACCGTCAAGATGCGACTCTTTAATACTCTCCATCAGCGGTAAAATATAAAAGAACAAATTAGATAAACAAAGAATTTAAAAAAATATCCAATATTAAAAACATCATATAAGTAAAATGAAACTACGATACAAAAACTGTAACCTAACAATATTACAATAAACATGTCTACTAACACGAACCTTTAAATTTACTCATAAACATTAAAATTATTAAGCTGAATGACATGGAGATGGTTAGCTGAAGACTAATTCTCACTATATTGAAGATGTCAGACATGAAGTCGAGTCTTGTGGTGTTGAGGTGAGAGTTGTGATGTTCCCAGAGGTAAGAGGGTGGTTGGTTAAGTCAGAACGATCTTTGACAGCAGAGTGAGACGGCTCATGCAAGAGAAACCCAAGTCCGGCAGTTCTTCCCGCATGTTGAGAGAAGCTGTGTTTCTAGTGTGGTGAAGTAATGTCATGGTATCAGGTACTACACCTCCATCACCCAGACAACACTGAACCTATGGAGGGTAATATCAGGTTATCAAGTACTAAATAACAAAAAAAAAGCACAATACCGTGACTGGAACGATACACAAATAACCAGCACATAGAAGAGAGAAGCTTACGACGACGTTTCGGTCCGACTTGGACCATTTACAAAGTCACACTAACGAGAAGTAGAGCAGGAAAAGGTAGTAGTGGTAGTAGTAGTAGTAGTAGTAGTAGTAGTAGTAGTAGTAGTAGTAGTAGTAGTAGTAGTAGTGGAGATGGAAGGATGTAATGGGGAAGTAAGGAGGAAGAGCCAGAAATACAAAGAAAGGGGAGCACTGCAAGGGAGCTAGGTGCCCACAGAGGGTGAGCAAGAACACTTTCAACAACAAACTAAGGACTCTCTCCGACCTCTGTCCTCCAGACTTTGACCTTGTTCAACGGTTTCGTTTCATCTGTCCCTCTCTTCCCTATTTCTATGACCTTCCCAAAACTCATAAACCTGATATTCCTCTACGTCCTATCATATCCTCTAGAGGTTCTGTCTCTTATTCTCTTGCTTCTTGGTTGGCCAAAACCCTCACTCCCTTTTTCTCCTGCCCACCTCCGTCACTCTCAAGACTTCATTGAACGGGTTCGCTCTCTCCCGACCTGTAAGATGCTTAGTCTTGACGTTGAGTCCCTCTTCACCAATGTCCCTCTTGATGATGTCCTTGATTTTCTTAGAGAGAAGGCCAATGAAGGGTTTCTTCATCTCCCTATACCTACTGATGTCTTTCTTGATCTTATCCGCCTCTGTGTGGACTCTAATTCCTTTTCCTTCCAAGGTAAATATTATTCTCAAACCTTCGGTGTCGCTATGGGCTCTCCTCTCTCTCCTGTCCTTGCTAATCTTTACATGGAATACTTCGAGACTGTTCTTCTTCCTACCATCGATGTGCAACCTTCACTCTGGCTCCGCTATGTTGATGACATCTTTGCTCTGTGGCCTCATGACTCCAGTCTCTTCTAACCTTTTCTTGAAGCTCTTAATAATCTTGCCCCTTCCATTAAGTTTAAAGCTGACTGAGAATCTAATTCCTTGCTTCCTTTTCTTGATGTTCATGTCCACCGCTCAGATACAGGTTTTTTCTTTCCGTTTAACGCAAACCTATGCACAGTGGCATGTACATTCACTACTTTCTTATCATGCTTCCTCTGTCAAGAAAAGTGCTCTTATTTCCCTATTTCCCTATTTCGTGAACGAGTAAATGCAAAATTTTCAGTGAAAAATAAGAGTGGGGATTACATGAAAGCTTTCGTGCCAGTCCACGCACATCATCAGAGGAGCTAGAAGGAAGAATCTAGGAAAAAAAGTAGGATAAAGAACATTTTCTAGGTTCCTAAGGGAGGTGACTTTCCTCAAGTTTGAGTTTAATGACAAGAAGAACTGCAGCAGTGGCCCTGGCTAGGCAGGTCCACCTCAGAACCAGCACAACAAGCACACACTCACTGGGCTGTTGCAGTGCACCATGCAAGGTGCATCTTATAAAATTTAGTTCATGTCCTCATCAGTCCTATTATAAATTTGACAACAGAGTTGAGAGCAGAATACTTGCAGGATCAACTGCGTTAACAATATTCCGCTATTAACTCTGGTGACAAACCAACAACAGACGTAACAAGACGTAACCAACAACAGACGTAACCAACAACAGACGTAACAAGACGTAACCAACAACAGACGTAACCAACAACAGACGTAACAAGACGTTTACCAAACATAAACAACATATATATTAGGTCACATAATTACAGTAAACCTGTAACCAAGACATGTGAAGCCAGACCTTAACAAATCCATGGTTAAACCTCTAAAATGAATAAAAACGAGAAATAAGATAGACTGCATGAAGAAAAGGAGGAGGAGGAATAGGAAGAGGAGAAGGAGGGAACACAAAACTGCATAAATTCCTAAAGTAAATTGTTTCTGTGACAACGAACAGATTATTTTTTTGTGAAAAAATATATTTTCATCCTCGAGTTTATGAACTATATTGCCGAGTTTATACATGCCAGAACTTAACTTTGAAATGTTTTGTGCAGGTGGGATAAGCAACGATCCCAAGAGCAGAAGTGGAATAAAGGTACGAGTAGAACAATGGTAGGAGTGGAACAAGGGCAAGAGTGGAACAAAGGTACAAGTGGAACAATGGTAGGAGTGGAACAAAGGAGTGAAACAAGGTCAGGAGTGGAGCATGGGAAAAAGTGGAACAAGGGTAGGAGTGGAACAAGGTCAGGAATGGAACATGGGCAGGATTGCATAAAGGGTAGGAGTGGAACAAGGGCAGGAGTGGAACAATGGAAGTAGTGGAACAATGGAAGAAGTGGGACAAGGGACGGGGTAAAACAATGGAAGCAGTGGAACAAGGAAAGGAGTGGAACAATTGAGGTAGTGGAGCAAAATGAGAAGTGGAACAAGGGAACAAGGGCTGGAGTGGAATAAGGGCTGGAGTGGAATAAGGGTTGGAGTGGAACAAGGACTGGAGTCGAACAAGGGAGGGAGTGGAACAAGGGTTGGGGTGGAACAAGGGAAGGAGTGGAACAATGACTGGAGAGGACTAAGGGAAGGAATGAATCAGGGGAAGGAATGGATCAAGATCAAAGGAAGGAATTGAAGGGAATCGACATCAAGAAATGGATAGAGAGGGGAGAGAGAGAGAGAGAGAAAGAGAGAGAGAGAGAGAGAGAGAGAGGAAGGGCGGAACCTGGATGGAGTGTTGCAGGGTGAGACTTCGCCCCCCTGGGTAGTGTGGAGGACACCATCCCAGCAGTCCTAGGAACCCCTCCACCACCTCCACTACACAGCTCCTCTCACCACACTGCTCCTCTCACCACACTGCTCCTCTCACCACACTGCCCCTTCTCTAACACTCACAACACCTCTACAAGAAACAAGAGGCGAGGGACTCGTTGTAGGGCCCTCTCCACCGTCAACAAAACACACAGACACACACACACACACACGGTGGGGCATCACTTACCAGTGAGCAACAAGTGACTTGCTCTCAACACAACACTGACAACACGGCCACAGGAGGGGTGCTGACACCACTACAAAGTGGCTACGAGGGTGATGAGTGACACCCTCGTAAAGTGAGTTACTGACAACAGTGTGAGCATCGTGTGGTGGGAAGACAAGAGAGACATAAGAGGAAGCAGTGGATTTACTCTTGCCGTAGAGAACGAACAGAAGAAAATGGAAGAACTTGATAAATCGTGAGCAGATACTAAGTGTTAAAAAAAAGTGAATAAGAGAACCAAAAGGAAGGGAATGGAAAAAATGTAATAGTGACGTGAAGAAAATTGATGAAGTGGTAGTGAAGATGAAAAGAAGAAGGAAGAAGTGAAAATAATAGTGAATACCATGGGAGAATAAGGAATACTTGGGGCAGACCAGCCACTCCTCGACCGATGGAGGGAACAGAGAGAGGGAGAGAGAAGAGAGAAGAGGCGAGTGTAGCGAGGAGAGTAGTAGGAGGAGGAGGAGACGTAGCATCAGGGGAGAGGAAATAAGAGAAACAAGAGTAGCAAAGAGAGCAAACAAGTCTGATGTGAGACGCGAAAATAGAAATAGTGAAACATGAAAGTGAAGATGAATGAATAAAATGATAACGAGGAAACAGTCAAATAAGAAAGGAAAAACGAATAAGGAAAATATCAACGTTGAGAGTGAATATTAAGAAATAAACAGGACAGAGACAAGAAATAAAAAGGAAGAGGAAGAAAATATAACTAAACACGAAACAGAAAAAATAACAAGTAGAGAAAATAAAGAGAGGAGCAAATAAAATATAATGAATAACCAACAAGGTGGAAATGTAAGTAAATATGTGACTTTTGTATGTTGGTGGTGCATGTGTTGTGTTGTGGTGCATGTGTTGTGTTGGTGGTGCATGTGTTGTGTTGTGGTGCATGTGTTGTGTTGGTGGTGCATGTGTTGTGTTGTGGTGCATGTGTTGTGTTGGTGGTGCATGTGTTGTGTTGGTGGTGCATGTGTTGTGTTGGTGGTGCATGTGTTTGTGTTGTGGTGCATGTGTTGTGTTGGTGGTGCATGTGTTGTGTGTGGTGCATGTGTTGTGTTGGTGGTGCATGTGTTGTGTTGTGGTGCATGTGTTGTGTTGTGGTGCATGTGTTGTGTTGGTGGTGCATGTGTTGTGTTGTGGTGCATGTGTTGTGTTGTGGTGCATGTGTTGTGTTGTGGTGCATGTGTTGTGTTGTGGTGCATGTGTTGTGTTGGTGGTGCATGTGTTGTGTTGGTGGTGCATGTGTTGTGTTGTGGTGCATGTGTTGTGTTGTGGTGCATGTGTTGTGTTGGTGGTGCATGTGTTGTGTTGTGGTGCATGTGTTGTGTTGTGGTGCATGTGTTGTGTTGTGGTGCATGTGTTGTGTTGGTGGTGCATGTGTTGTGTTGGTGGTGCATGTGTTGTGTTGTGGTGCATGTGTTGTGTTGTGGTGCATGTGTTGTGTTGTGGTGCATGTGTTGTGTTGTGGTGCATGTGTTGTGTTGGTGGTGCATGTGTTGTGTTGGTGGTGCATGTGTTGTGTTGGTGGTGCATGTGTTGTGTTGTGGTGCATGTGTTGTGTTGGTGGTGCATGTGTTGTGTTGGTGGTGCATGTGTTGTGTTGGTGGTGCATGTGTTTGTGTTGTGGTGCATGTGTGTGTGTGTTGGTGGTGATGTGTTGTGTTGGTGGTGCATGTGTTGTGTTGTGGTGCATGTGTTGTGTTGGTGGTGCATGTGTTGTGTTGGTGGTGTATGTGTTGTGTTGGTGGTGCATGTGTTGTGTTGGTGGTGCATGTGTTGTGTTGGTGGTGCATGTGTTGTGTTGGTGGTGCATGTGTTGTGTTGGTGGTGTATGTGTTGTGTTGTGGTGCATGTGTTGTGTTGTGGTGCATGTGTTGTGTTGGTGGTGCATGTGTTGTGTTGGTGGTGTATGTGTTGTGTTGTGGGTGCATGTGTTGTGTTGGTGGTGCATGTGTTGTGTTGGTGGTGCATGTGTTGTGTTGGTGGTGTATGTGTTGTGTTGGTGGTGCATGTGTTGTGTTGGTGGTGCATGTGTTGTGTTGGTGGTGTATGTGTTGTGTTGTGGTGCATGTGTTGTGTTGTGGTGCATGTGTTGTGTTGGTGGTGCATGTGTTGTGTTGGTGGTGCATGTGTTGTGTTGTGGTGCATGTGTTGTGTTGGTGGTGCATGTGTTGTGTTGGTGGTGTATGTTGTTGTGTTGGTGGTGCATGTGTTGTGTTGATGGTGCATGTGTTGTGTTGTGGTGCATGTGTTGTGTTGTGGTGCATGTGTTGTGTTGGTGGTGCATGTGTTGTGTTGGTGGTGCATGTGTTGTGTTGGTGGTGCATGTGTTGTGTTGTGGTGCATGTGTTGTGTTGTGGTGCATGTGTTGTGTTGGTGGTGCATGTGTTGTGTTGATGGTGCATGTGTTGTGTTGGTGGTGCATGTGTTGTGTTGGTGGTGCATGTGTTGTGTTGTGTTGGTGGTGTATGTGTTGTGTTGGTGGTGCATGTGTTGTGTTGTGGTGCATGTGTTGTGTTGTGGTGCATGTGTTGTGTTGGTGGTGCATGTGTTGTGTTGGTGGTGCATGTGTTGTGTTGATGGTGCATGTGTTGTGTTGGTGGTGCATGTGTTGTGTTGGTGGTGCATGTGTGTGTGTTGGTGGTGCATGTGTTGTGTTGATGGTGCATGTGTTGTGTTGGTGGTGCATGTGTTGTGTTGGTGGTGCATGTGTTGTGTTGGTGGTGCATGTGTTGTGTTGATGGTGCATGTGTTGTGTTGGTGGTGCATGTGTTGTGTTGTGGTGCATGTGTTGTGTTGATGGTGCATGTGTTGTGTTGTGGTGCATGTGTTGTGTTGGTGGTGCATGTGTTGTGTTGGTGGTGCATGTGTTGTGTTGTGGTGCATGTGTTGTGTTGTGGTGCATGTGTGTTGTGTTGTGGTGCATGTGTTGTGTTGGTGGTGCATGTGTTGTGTTGGTGGTGCATGTGTTGTGTTGTGGTGCACGTGTTGTGTTGGTGGTGCATGAGTTGTGTTGGTGGTGCATGTGTTGTGTTGGTGGTGCATGTGTTGTGTTGGTGGTGCATGTGTTGTGTTGGTGGTGCATGTGTTGTGTTGTGGTGCATGTGTTGTGTTGTGGTGCATGTGTTGTGTTGTGGTGCATGTGTTGTGTTGGTGGTGCATGTGTTGTGTTGGTGGTGCATGTGTTGTGTTGTGGTGCATGTGTTGTGTTGGTGGTGCATGTGTTGTGTTGGTGGTGCAGTGTGTTGTGTTGGTGGTGTATGTGTTTGTGTTGGTGGTGCATGTGTTGTGTTGTGGTGCATGTGTTGTGTTGTGGTGCATGTGTTGTGTTGGTGGTGCATGTGTTGTGTTGGTGGTGCATGTGTTGTGCTGGTGGTGCATGTGTTGTGTTGGTGGTGCATGTGTTGTGTTGTGGTGCATGTGTTGTGTTGGTGGTGCATGTGTTGTGTTGGTGGTGCATGTGTTGTGTTGGTGGTGTATGTGTTGTGTTGGTGGTGCATGTGTTGTGTTGGTGGTGCATGTGTTGTGTTGCTGGTGTATGTGTTGTGTTGGTGGTGCATGTGTTGTGTTGGTGGTGTATGTGTTGTGTTGGTGGTGCATGTGTTGTGTTGGTGGTGTATGTGTTGTGTTGGTGGTGCATGTGTTGTGTTGGTGGTGTATGTGTTGTGTTTGGTGGTGTATGTGTTGTGTTGGTGGTGCATGTGTTGTGTTGGTGGTGCATGTGTTGTGTTGGTGGTGCATGTGTTGTGTTGGTGGTGCATGTGTTTGTGTTGGTGGTGTATGTGTTGTGTTGGTGGTGCATGTGTTGTGTTGGTGGTGTATGTGTTGTGTTGGTGGTGCATGTGTTGTGTTGGTGGTGCATGTGTTGTGTTGGTGGTGCATGTGTTGTGTTGGTGGTGTATGTGTTGTGTTGGTGGTGCATGTGTTGTGTTGGTGGTGCATGTGTTGTGTTGGTGGTGTATGTGTTGTGTTGGTGGTGCATGTGTTGTGTTGGTGGTGTATGTGTTGTGTTGGTGGTGCATGTGTTGTGTTGGTGGTGCATGTGTTGTGTTGGTGGTGTATGTGTTGTGTTGGTGGTGCATGTGTTGTGTTGGTGGTGCATGTGTTGTGTTGGTGGTGCATGTGTTGTGTTGGTGGTGTATGTGTTGTGTTGGTGGTGTATGTGTTGTGTTGGTGGTGTATGTGTTGTGTTGGTGGTGTATGTGTTGTGTTGGTGGTGCATGTGTTGTGTTGGTGGTGTATGTGTTGTCCTGTTGGTGTATGTGTTGTCCTGGTGGTGTATGTGTTGTCCTGGTGGTGTATGTGTTGTCCTGGTGGTGTATGTGTTGTCCTGGTGGTGTATGTGTTGTCCTGGTGGTGTATGTGTTGTCCTGGTGGTGTATGTGTTGTCCTGGTGGTGTATGTGTTGTCCTGGTGGTGTATGTGTTGTCCTGGTGGTGTATGTGTTGTCCTGGTGGTGTATGTGTTGTCCTGGTGTATGTGTTGTCCTGGGGTGTATGTGTTGTCCTGGTGGTGTATGTGTTGTCCTGGTGGTGTATGTGTTGTCCTGGTGGTGTATGTGTTGTCCTGGTGGTGTATGTGTTGTCCTGGTGGTGTATGTGTTGTCCTGGTGGTGTATGTGTTGTCCTGGTGGTGTATGTGTTGTCCTGGTGGTGTATGTGTTGTCCTGGTGGTGTATGTGTTGTCCTGGTGGTGTATGTGTTGTCCTGGTGGTGTATGTGTTGTCCTGGTGGTGTATGTGTTGTCCTGGTGTATGTGTTGTCCTGGGGTGTATGTGTTGTCCTGGTGGTGTATGTGTTGTCCTGGTGGTGTATGTGTTGTCCTGGTGGTGTATGTGTTGTCTGGTGGTGTATGTGTTGTCCTGGTGGTGTATGTGTTGTCCTGGTGTATGTGTTGTCCTGGGGTGTATGTGTTGTCCTGGTGGTGTATGTGTTGTCCTGGTGGTGTATGTGTTGTCCTGGTGGTGTATGTGTTGTCCTGGTGGTGTATGTGTTGTCCTGGTGGTGTATGTGTTGTCCTGGTGGTGTATGTGTTGTCCTGGTGGTGTATGTGTTGTCCTGGTGGTGTATGTGTTGTCCTGGTGGTGTATGTGTTGTCCTGGTGGTGTATGTGTTGTCCTGGTGGTGTATGTGTTGTCCTGGTGGTGTATGTGTTGTCCTGGTTGTGTAGCTGCATCACCTGATGCTCATCCTGTCAGCGGTAGCGCAAACACCAGGATTACAGAGTTCACAATGGGTGTTTGTCGGTCCCCCGCTGGGCATTGTTACATCATTAGAAATTAATACAAGTCATTTGTATTTTACAATTACTTCACGTAGTTAATGTGCACAATATAACATGAAATACAATCTCGATATTTTTATATTACCAATAAAAAGCACTGGTCAAAATTCGGTTGCTGTCTCTTTATAAAAACCAGCTCACTCATCTAGTCGATGCAAAAAATTGGACACACCTCTCGAAATTTCGGATAACTCAGCATTAACATTGAGGATGTCATATCGTGTCATATCTGAAAGGTTGGATGTTTGGACACTAAGATATAATGGTGCAGTGTATGGCACTGTTTCTGTCCACACACTTTGCATTTTATGTCACTGACATCTCTATACAAACCACAGTGCCAGAGATACAGCCCAGCCTTTGTCTAGCAGTAATAACATCTTGCAATCAACTAACCTTGTTGCTTTCTGACATCTTTCGTTATGATGGACAATGGATCTGATAGTTCCTATGTGTTTTGTTCACTTTCTTCAAGTTCGTTCGCTAGTTCCTTGTTTCCTAAACTCCTTCTT